GCCTCTCAGGCAGATGCACTCCGACTTTAAAGGAAGCTTCCAATTAGTCGACTCTTACGTCATCCTTTTGGGTAGGCAGTTGGTCTATTCTTGTTTTACCTATAATAGGTCCCCGGAACCCATACCGGTCTGAAATGAAAAGCCGTTAATACTTGTTATAATAAGAAGTTTGTAGTAATGTCGGACTGTGTCATCTAATTGATATTTCTCTTTCAAGATCAGTTTCGTTGAAGTGATTGTAAAAATGTTTATCTTATCAGCCATTTAAATTTAATTCATTTGGTTGGTTGTCGTGTATTCCATAACGCACTTGTTTGCCCAGGAGCCCACAGTCTGCCAAAACGGCACTGGTCACTCAGTGGGTTGTGTAGTCAACATCATGGCGACCGCCTTTATTCACCGTGACTTTATCTGGCGTCCATTTAAACTAGGTGGACATATGAGCCAAGACTCAAGTCCTAACGGAGCCGGGGTGTTTTTCAAAAATGACCTTGGTTCCCATGTAAATACAGCTTCAAATAGGTACCAGGTAAAGTCCTTGAGCGTGGCGTCCGTGGCTTAGGCGTTGGGAGTCTGACTCGTAATTCCATCGTACCGTGATCGAAACCCACTGCTGGCTGCGTGGATTTTTAAAGTGGTATGGGGCGTCGCAAGTCGACCCAGCCTAAAATGGGTACCGGAATGGCTGATCTGGGGAAGAAGAGACGGCCGGCTTAATGCTGACTACATTACCCACCGACTGCCGATGGTGTGAAAAAAAATGGGCGCTCTTCCCATATGCTAGATGCGTCTAAAGGCGTGACAAGGATCTCTCTCTACTTTTTACTTACTTTACTTTCAAGTCGTTGGACATAAGGCGGCCAGCGTGATGCTAACCACATCATCCACCTATGCCGATTGGTCTTTAAAATATAGGTCTAGCCCTATATACCTAATACTCCTGAAGGAGTTGATAGAGGTATTTTTCTTTTCTTTACTTCTCTAGGAACGAAGCATCCTTTTAAAATGGGTTCAGGATATACTTGTTTGCGTACTGACTTTGATAGTGAATGCTACGAGAACGGAGTGCCATTCCGTTTCATAGGTTGTGTTCTAGAGTACCCACACTTTACAGCATAGATATTTGCTATGGGATTACTTTTAAAGTCCCCCGTGTGGGTTCCGGGGTCCCATTGTGGGAAAAACTAGAATAGACCCACTGCCTCCCCAAAAGCATGTCGTAAGAGTCGACTAATTGGGGAGCTTCATTCGAAATCGGAGTGCGTCTGCCGAAGAGGCAAGGAATCAACAGTCTGTATTCAAGAGAATGAGATCTGTAAAACTGATGCGCACGCAATACTCAGGTTCTGGAGCAGGACTGCAGTTCAGTAGTGGACGAGCAACCAGAACTTTCCGCCAGAGTGTACAGCTGGTGAACGCGAAGAAAAAAGAACAAGACTTTTAAAGCTGCTTAAAATGTGTACATGACTTTGACGTGAATCTGTTTATTGTCACTGATTTAAACCTTAGACGGTGATACCTAAACACCAAGACACAGCTATAATGCAATGGATTCAGTACAGTAAAACCCCGTAAAAAAAGAAAAGTCTTGCTACACCAAGACCCGAACCCACTACCTTTCGATCCGCAGACGAGATTCTAGTCTCTACGTCGCTCCAATGGCGAGAAAATTACTTTATTTTATTTAATACTAGCTGTATATTGTGCACTTTGCTACGCCTCCACAGAAATTGAATTGTTCGTCTATAGTGCGTACTAAAACAGTTTCCAGTCTTGCTTCCTGTTGCTCGAATGTTTCAGATAAACAGGCAGGAGCAGTGCGCATTCAAACGGTGTCCAGTCTTGCTTCCCGTTGCTTGACTGTTTTAGATATTTCTACAACTTTTGATTCCAACTTGTTTATACTCCCACACCTTTAAATCTCAATACATGTTGTCAACAAACGGTCGTTAAATTTTCTTACATTATGTCAGCAACTGGCCATCAATTGATTATTATATCTGAGTTCAACAAAAGTTCGCTGAAATAAAAACCTTCGACAGCAATGCAGCCACGAAAAAAAAAACACAAGATGTCGATATGATCGTCGCTGGAGTTATGTAGTTCGTGCTATCACCACCTATTTCAAACTATGAGAGATAGTATCCTGACATCAAAACAAACACATCCTTAAAATGTCAGCCAATAATTTACGAGACTATACGACACAATGAGACATAAAACATGGATTTTTAAAATTTATAGATAGAAGAAACCTTATCCAAGAAAGGAAACAGCTTGGGAGCCACTTTTAAACTGCCAGTTTCAAGTGCGTTGTGTGCGCTCTTTTGACGTTGTTGGCTAGTCACTGATCCACTTAGCAACTCGTTGACTACAGCATTGTGTGAAGTTTGCTAGGCTAAGTTTCCGAGCACATAAAAGTTGACCGATTCCTCTCTCTGTGAACAAACGCTTTTCAGGAAAGTGGCGTAGATTATGGTACAACCGGAATAGTTTTGGACATTTGTTTATCTTTCAGTCTTTCCTTTTTTCCTCGTAATTTTTTTTTACCTCCTCCTTCCCCTGTTTCCAAAACTCGGGCGAGTGGGATCTTTGGGTGTGGACATTTGGACTTTTCCCCATTCAATAATATTTGTGATGGTCGGATTTTGAGCTTACTCGTGTGCCGTAGGATCTAGTTTTGTCGGACATTTAGGTTTAGCCAGCCAATGGGATGTTGCTGTTGTGGTGTACCTCAGCGCGGTGACGACGACACTGAGGGTTAACAGAGGATGTACATGGGTAGAATCTTGCTGCGAGACGCCACCCCCAGGAGATGTTAGTCGTCTGTGCTGCTGGTAAATCTCTAGGTCAAGGGTTGAGTCTCAGCAGAACAATGTTCTCTTCACTCCGCAGTCTTTTAACCAAGGGTTGTAATTTTAGTTGTATGTTTGGCAAGCACTTTACTCATGTTCCTAATGAGTTTTTGATAACCTTTTTCACCCATGCGTTTGATGAGAGCCACAAGGACACATCACCTCTGGGGGCCGCCAAACTCCGAGATCCCCTGACAGCTCTGTTAATGCTCATTTGAGACATAATCCGGGGGCACGACGAGGACGTGCTGCAGGGGTTTTACGTGTGGTTCCGTAAAACCAGAACAGTGAAGGACTGGGGCCCCAGTAACGTACGGAGTATCTCCTTATACACATCATGTTGGACTTAACTTTCCTTCACGCCTGTGACATAAATCACCACGCCACGATGCTTCCATCCGATTCAGACCGCTCCTCCTTCACCCTGTTGTTACTTGTTCATGTCTTTCCTCTTTTTTTTTTTTTTTTGGTGGCAGGGCCTTTACAGAACGGCGCTCTTATATCAGTGCACCTAAAAGACTCTATTTCGTTGGCCAGTTCTCCAGCTCTATGTTCGTTCATAGCTGATATTCTAACAGGCAGCCATGAATTTTCCGTGAGGTTAGTAGTATTTTTAAAATGTTATGAGAACTGAGGCCCAGTTTATCTGAACTTTAATAGCAAAACCAAAGGGGTTGGGAAAAAACAAACGAGATTAGCTCAATACAAACTTTTAATAAAACTGGCAACAAAAAGGACGTACTTTCGTGTCTTGAGGCAATAGATGGTAGGATGAAAACAGTGGCAACCATATCTTATGAAAATAGAAATAATTTGTAATGTAACTGACGTACAACAATCAATAGAGGAGCATCTGGTCCAACGGTTAAGAACGCTGGGTAATCATGGAGAGATCCAGGTACAAATTCTCGGTAAGATTATCAATTTTTTGTCTATCGGGGACAAAAGTAAAAATCCTAAATTCCTTCAGTCCGCAACGAAAGCCTTAGCCATGAGGACTAAATCCTCATGCTCAAAGACCACTTTGATCTATAACTTCAGTGTTGCCTTGTTTTTGTTTTTATGACAACATCAAATCTAACAAATTTAGGAAGCAAGCAAACGTCTGTCAGCGCCAGTGCCCCTCGTATTCATCATCATCATTATCATGATCATCCCGTAACACTGCATGTCGTTGGGTCACCAGTTGCTGTTGACTGTCTGATCAGCTCTCTCCATCTTTTACAGTGAGATGCGATGGGCTTCATTGTTTCATGCCTAAGGCCTGTCCGGTCAGTCAAATTTTGTACCCAGATCTTTCTTGGTCTGCCTCTTCTATTCTGACCCCTGTAGTATTGTTTTTGAGAGGCCGTCTCATAAGGCAACATCAGTACTGTGGCAACAGGTTACTCGCAATTTTTCGAATCTGTTGTTCACAGCACAAACTACGGTGGGTACAGTCAGAAAACACTTCAAATGAAATAAATCCTAAGCTCACAGTGTCGCGCTATGCACTCTTCTGCAAATTTGAGATTCCTCACTCAGGCTTGAGTCAGAAGTAGAAGGGAGCACTAATGGGTTACTACCCTTGTGCCATGATGTTAATCCGTCGCCTAAACCTAAACCATGGTATATGGGCTGCACTGAACACAAACGTATATTGTGGTCTTTGCTATTGCATCTAGCGAAACAGGCCTTGGATTAAATTATTACAGTTTCATTATCGCTTAAACAGATTCTTTGTCATGATCCATACTGCACTTTACAACGTCCGTTAATCATCAACAGCAGACTTCTTTTCAGTGAAAAAATATTATTATCGTTTTGAATCTTCACAAATTTGTGAATTTTCGACATGGTCCAGCCTACATCTTACATCAGCAGTCAATAATGAGGAGAATTGTCAGTACACAAAAGTGTTTTGGTTTCGATAACCATCAAGTGTTCTTGATTAAATCCTGTCAGGATCAGGCTTACGCTTACTACCAACTGTTTGTTCTCAACACAGTATATAATTTGAATACAGATAGTCGGATCGTTTTCATAGCTTTCAAAAAGCGGAGAAGGTACACTCCAAGACGGGAGATTGCACAGCAAGAGGCCACCGATCTTCGGTAACAATTCTCCAGTCGTCAGTTAACAATCTGTTACTCATCAAGATAATGTTCAGTACAAAATAGTGTTATCATTTTGATAACCTTCAACAGTTCTGGAATCTCTGTCGTGTTGCATTTCTTCTTCGGGTTTATTATCTAACGGAATGTCACTTTCCGGTTGACTGTCTAATTTGATGCTTCTTATTTTCGCTATCTTAATCTGGTAAACGACAACCAGGGTAGTGGCGAGTATGATGAGAGAAGAAGCAACAACGATAAAAACTATGGCCACTGTCCGCCAGGGGGTAGCATCATTATCAAAAGTTTGTTCGCTAAATTCTGAGAATGGAGTGGTCACATTTCTGGAATCTGAATAAGGGCCGATTCCTGCGCTATTCCTACTAGCGACACGCAAAGAATATATGGTGTTCTCTTGCAGATGGTCAATATTCTTAGAGGACACAGAGCCTCCGGTAATGTTCACAGTTTGCTGTAGTTTGTGGATGTCAACAGCGCCATCTTCCACAGTAAATACATCAATGATATAGCCGGTTACAGGCGGGAAAATGCTACTGGGATTTAAAGGTACAGTCCAGTTTATTTGTACTACATGCCCATCCAGACTCTTGATTCCTTCTATTACTGGTTTGTAAGTAGGTGGATAGTCATATACTTGAAAAACTTCTGTTACAACAACACTAGTTGTGAGCGTTCTTGTGTTGTAGGCGAAGATCTTCAAGTTGTAATCTCCAGTCTTTAGATCTTGAAATGTAGCTAGAGGTTGCTGAAGAACGCTAACAGTAACTGTAGCAATGGCGCTGTTGTCCAATCGAGAATTAAACAACTGAACTGTGACTGTTGTGTCTTCTGGCTGGCCGTTGAGAGGGTCAGGGTGTTTCCATGCCACCGTTGCTGTTCTATTATAGACCGTCACAGTGACATTGCTTACTGCAGACGGCGCTGCTGCCAAAGTTTTAGCACTCACTGTTGGAGAATATGGTCCGGGACCTATAATATTGACCATGGATGCTTGTAAAAGATAGGCAGTGTTGGATGTGAGGTTACGAATAATAGCTTCGATAGAAAATACCCACTCGGTCCCAGTAGAGTTAATAGATACAGTAAAGTCTTTTGGGGCAGTGTTTTCCGCATTGGCATTTCGCTTTACAATGCTCCTTTCAGTACAAGAAGCTGGTGTGCTATTGCCAGCTACTGCGCCTGACTCCACTTCTAGATAGTCCTCTAGCTGACTAGACAGAAAGAAGGTCTCAGTTTTCCATGAATTTGTGCTATCAGCTGCCAATCGTAGAAGAAATTTGCTGGGTGTTAAATAAGGAATCGGTTCTGAATGAGTCATCAACACAGTCAAACTATCGGATGTGGGGTTTACGGTCAAAATCCCAACACCTGGCGGTGATGACAGTTTTGCATACGATCCGTTGACAGTGTCAATTTGACAAGTGTATTCCGACTTGATTTTGTCTCTTCGTATCCACAGATCATTTGCGACAACGGTATGACCTTCGGTTAAGTTCGTTATGAGATTTCCTCCAGATGAATATGTGATGTTTGGAACAGGGAGACCAGCCGTTATACAAGAGAAGAAATAATCATCGTCAAATTCCTGTCCAATGAGTTGTCTGATGATAGCATTACCTGTGAGATTTAGGGTAACTCTTTGTAGACGACAGCCGATCTCATTACAGGCTTTGCAGGTCCACACACCGGCATCACGCTCCATGTTTACTGATAGGATTGTTAATGTTGAATTGACATACTGAAGCGTTTCCTCAACCGAAACCGTAATCTCCCCAGCAGATGCTTCTGTGTATTCAACTTTAACCGGTGTGAGCCAGGAGACAACAGGCAGAGGTAATCCTGTAGCTTGACACGTAATATTTCCAGTTTGGCCTAGCATCAATGTATAGGCAACTTCAGTAGATATTATCGACGGCAAGATGTCAACAGTCAGGTAAGCTGGATTTGAAGGTGTACTTCCATCAGAATTGCTGAGAACACAAATATACCAATTAGCGTCTGACTGTTCAACACATTTAAATATCAAATCTCCTTCGGAGCTAACCTGAAATCGACTAACAGGTGAAGCTGTGTTTTGGTTGCCAACTGTTAGATCTAAGGGTCGCAACGGGTTTCCAGCCACGTCAGACAGGTACCATACAACTTGAAATGACGTGGGACTGTTTCCTCGACAAGGTATGATTGCTGTAGATCCAGCTGCAGTCGTTGTATTAACAGGGGCTGTCAGAAAGTAAGGAAGTGTCGAGACAGTTAATATAGCAGAACTCGACCTTTCACCTGCTTGATTTATAGCACGACAGGTATAGTTGCCCAAGTCACTTTCCTGTACATTTGATATTAGAAGAGATCCGTTTATATACAGTACTGTCCTGGGATTCATCTCAATTGCACGCTGGTTGAACAACCATCTTTGGGAAGGTACTGGAATCCCCACGGGAAAACAGTCTAGTCTCACTGTAGAGCCCAGGGTCACTCTTCTGTCTGTTGGCGTGTCTTTGAACACGGGAATTGTTATTACTCTTAGAATAGCTGCAGCAAAAGCAGAACCGTGGTCATTGGTGGCCAGACATAAATACAGGCCAGCATCTCCACCACTAACGTGTTCAAATCGTAATGATGTGTCGTTTATAAACGAAAACGTCGTGCTTTCACTTGCCTGCAACATTGTCATGTTATCAGTTGGCAGATTATTCTGTGAAAGCGACTCTTTAATATACTGTAAAATATCAGTGGATTGTATTGAGGGATCCATAATGTACCTATAGTACCAGGTTACTTGAGCATCCACATATGCGTCTGCCTGACACTGAAGGACAACTGTGTCCCCTTCAATTACTCCTTGACTTACCGGAGTAGCAGAAAACGAGGGAACACCACTCACAGAAACAATTGCCGAAGCTGCAGTTGAGCCTATATTGTTAGTAGCATAACAAGTGAATAAACCACGATGGATTCTACTAGCTTGAACAATACTCAAGTCACCGTTATCAAGAACTACTTCGTTGCTGTTTGAATTCATCCCAGAATTCACAGATGTCAAATTCACGGTTGGTTTATTAGGAATGTTCCAGCTTATGGTCGGATGAGGATTTCCAACAGCAGCACATGGTAATGAAAATGCAAATCCCTCACTGACTGTCACACTTTGAGGGGGAGTGATAATATACGGTTTGTATAGAATGTTGACATACGCCACTGACTCTACAGTACCTACAGAATTGACCAGTCTACATATATACATACCGCGGACTGATCGACTGATGTTTCTGATGGTTAACACTCCATTTCCCTCAGCGTATGCTTGTTCAGCGCCAAGACTAGCCTGGACGCTACTATTGCCATATACTGAGGCAGAGTCATTATTCTGGGTTGCTAGATTTGTAGTGATCACTTGTCCCGTAGGACCGACCCAAACCACAGAAACTCCAGGATTACCCGTGCCGCCACAGGAAAGTGTGAGATCAGAGCCTTCAGTTAAGGTTTTATCAACTGGTCGGGTAGAAAAGACAGGGGGTTGGGGATTCCCAGCAACCAGAAGCTTTGCCTCGGAAAACGCCGATCCATGCTGATTATTCCAGGTGCACGAGTAGACCCCAGTTCTATCTTCTGCAACATTCATTAGCTGCAATATTCCCTTTGCGTCATCAGTATAAAGGGACGGCTGCGAGGCGGAGAGCTGTTGTGGAGTTCCATCGCCATTTGATGGAGTAAACAGCCATGTTATTGTCGCTTTGGGTTCACTGTTCGCTGGGCAGGAAAATGTCGCATTGTATCTATTGATGCAAAGAAATAAATTAATCAATGAGGATGATTTTAGATTAACTCTAAACGATTGCAAAAGTAATTTCTTCTTCTTCTTCTTCTTCTTCTTCTTCTTCTTCTTCTTCTTCTTCTTCTTCTTCTTCTTCTTCTTCTTCTTCTTCTTCTTCTTCTTCTTCTTCTTCTTCTTCTTCTTCTTCTTCTTCTTCTTCTTCTTCTACCTTCTTTGAACTTCCTTCTTCGATATTCCTCTTCTTCTTTTTCTTCTTCTTCTTTTTCTTCTATCTTCCTCTTCTTCTACTTCTTCTTCGTCGTCGTCGTCGTGGGGCTGATTTTAAAAATTATGATCCATTAACCGTGTCCCGCATAAAGTACAATGTTCATCTAATTGAAAAGCTGTGTGTTATTGCTTAGCGCACGATTACATCTAACACATATACATTGTGGTGGTTGGAGAAGTGTCCCCGCTCTCTATTACCGTAAACATGCTAAATGTATGCTTGGAATCAATGTCTGTTTTTTTTTTTATACACTGCAAACAATGCAAATTGAAAACTAGAGGTTAGTTTACTCTTTGCTTACAAGGACACATATTTTAACAGGTTGCATGCCAGATTTCAACAGTTTAAATCGAATGGTAGAGAGCCGCCGTGGTCCAGCGGCCAGACGTTCGCCTGCGGATCAGAAGGTCGTGGGTCCAGGTCCTGATGGGGGCGGGACTTTTTTCAAAAAATGACTCTGGCTCGCAGGTCGACCGCGCCTTGAGTGGGTACCTGCTACAGTCCGGTGAAGTAAAGGCGTCCGGTGAGATGCTGTTTGGCCTATACAATATAGGTCTACCGCTATATACCCAATACGCCTAAAGACGTGGAACAGGGTTCTTTACTTTACCTTATACAAAATGTTTACTGGTTTGAGGATTTTTTTTTTGTTGAGTTAGATGGAAGGGACCATGACTTGTACACCTAATTTCAACCATGTTTATTATCTGACAACTGTCTTCCTCGAGTTTTGATTTGGTTGACAAATGACCGCGAGATATTTTCTACACCGTTTTCATTGATCTCTTTGGCCTTGAGTATTCCGAGCCGCACGTATCTTGCATGATCTTTCTGCCTGACTTGTTGTAACCGTGAGCTATAACCCAAAACAAGGTGCTCAAAATCTCGATGCCACTGTTTCATCTTTTGCATGATCTTTCCCTTAGTTCCATGGAGCTGCTGATATGTTTCTAAAAAAGTAATTATTTTTTGTAACTGGTACCAGGTCAGT